ATTCATTCATTCATTTTTGCGGAGTTGAGAAAGGGCAGAGGGAGAGAAAGAGAAAATCTTAAGCAGGCTCGATGCCCAGCACAGGACCCTCCTTTGGGGCTCATCACAATCCTGAGCTCATGACCTGAACTGAAATCAAGAGTTGGACTCTTGATTTTTTTTCTTTTTTTCAGACTCTTAATTAAACTAAGCCACTGAGGTGACCTTGTTTTTCTCTTTTTTAATTTAACAGGGGTCTGGGAGGAGGGGAGACAGGTTTCTGTTTCATCTGTTTCTATTTCATCTTGTGATGTACATACAGAAGAATTAAGACCTTGGGTGAGGATTCTTACCAGGTTATGCTGTTTTTGGCATATTTTTGCTGGCAGTTGAGACCCAAGGCCACATCTTGAGTGTGTCATAGGACTATCTGATGGTTTTAACTTCTGTCACCGGCCTTAGTTGAAGCAAGTTGTTTCCTCCGTGAACTTGTGCCTGAGATATTTGAACCCTGGCAACAGGAGGGAAGCAGGTTTGAACTTGGAACTGACAGGGCTGTATTTTTGCAGTTATTCTCTGTGTTGAGTTATATATTGTCCACATGGGTATATAGTAGAAAAGCAGAAGTGTTCATTTGGTATTTCAGAAGCGTAGGTCTCAAAACCTTGATAGAATGGAGACAAAGATGGCAGTCCTGGGGCTTGCCTAAACTAGTAAATCTTTAGCCTCAGTAAGTTTCTTAATAAGCTCCATGACCCTGGCTCCAGCTGGGAAGGAAAAAAATCAATGTAAAGAATGTACAACATAATGGAAATACCATTCAAAATTTTATATTTTCAGGCTGTCTGATGTTAGAAATCCTCTTCTGGTAAGCAAATGTTACTGGACTTACCTACCCCTGATTTTTTACCACTATTCTTTTTTTTTTTTTTTAAGATTTTATTTATTTATTCATGAGAGACTCACAGAGAGAGGCAGAGACATAGGCAGGGAGCCTAATGTGGGACTCGATCCCAGGAACCCGGAATCATGCCCTGTGCCAAAGGCAGACCGTTAACCACTGAGCCATCCAGGTGTCCCTTGACCGTGATTCTAAACCTGTTTTGATGTAAAGAAGGAAAGTGATATGCATTCAGACCACTTGGAGCACTAAAGAAGCTCTAGTCTGTCTTGCCCTTTATTTGGAGAGGTTACAAGCTCATCTGAACCCTAATGCTGTATTTGGACAAGTTATACAATCCTAGAAACACAAATTAGAATCACTCACATTTTGTCCTTTATTTGCAAATAACAAATGTTGGGAAGCAAGCATGCCCCTGCCTGACCTGACTCAATTTCCCTGTTGGACTCAAGGCTGTCCTGTGCCCTCCACTCCCACCCCACCAAGCTCTCCCTGTGAGGCTTGTGCTGGGAAAGCAGAAAACCTGGCATGCTGGGTGCCCCTGGTGGAGCAAGAGGCAGCTGCCCTGAGCAGTACACACCCTTCCCCCCGACCACCACCACCACTTACCACCACCACCACCCCCAGCGCACAAGGATTCCCAGCATGGGAAGATGGCCAAGGAGAGGCTTCTGGTGGCCATGCTGTATGGTGGGAGGAGGCTCAGGTCCAGTGGACCTGGAGGGCTCACATCTCCTATTTTCTACTTCTGCTGTAAAGCAAGTGTCATGATACTTCTGAGCCTGCCTTCCCATCTGTAAGACATTTTCCTTTACATCAGTTTTTTTAGTACCAAGTCAACCATGTTGACTCCTCCTTGCTTCATGTCTCCTTCCATGCACTCCCTGTCTTTGGCGGCCAGAGCTGTTCTGAAGTCTTGGTGAGGACACCTGAAGAGAGCAGAGCTCAGACAGCAACGTGTGGTGCAGACAGCACCCTTTCCAAGACTGCAGGATGGGCTGGGGGCTGGGATGCACACTTAGACTTTTCCTTTTTTTTTTTCTTCAAGATTTTATTTATTTATTCATGAGAGACACAGACATAAGCAGAAGGAGAAGCAGGCCTCCCGCAGGGAGCCGCATGCGGGACTTGATCCCAGAACTTCAGGATCATGCCCTGAACCAAGGCAGATGCTCAACCACTGAGCCACCGAGGTGTCCCAGACTCAGACTTTTCCATTCCCAATCACAGGATGTAAGTGTGCCCAACGCCAGTTGCTAGATGGAAGAGAAGGCAGGCTGAGGGCATGACCTCTCACTAAAGGAGGACAAGTTCATCTGCTGTTTGGCTCACTGCTCTATTCCCCATACCTACAAGAGTGCCTGGCACACTGAGATTGAAGGGGAGAGGGATGGAGAGGGAAAGTTGCTTTGGGCTGTCTACATCCTGAAACTGGTTCTTGGGGCTGGCTGCACATTTATCAGCTCAGATATGCCACCTGGCCCTAAGGGGAAGTACTGTCTGTGGGTTGCAGAAGGAAATTCTATGTTGTCAGAGGTGTTCCTAAGGGGTCTGTAGGGGTACTGCTCCAATGAGCTCCGTCTCTTCTTCATTTGCACCTATTTCCTGCTTCTCCTGGCCCCCAGGACACTTGGAAGTCCTTGGTCTGTGCCAGTGAGTTCCCATGGTGGCACTGAACAAATGAGTGATGAGGACATGAGTGTGGGCGTTTGGCTGTGAAGAGAAATAATGGAAAAGGGAAAGGTTCAGAATTGCCATCTGAGCCACCAGAGAAGCCGGTACAGCGCTAAGTGGCTTCCCCATCACCATTTTGGTGACTTCCCTGAACTGTTTGGCCTGTTGCCCCATACCTCCTCCATAGTCAGCCAGCATCCAGGCCCCAGCAGCACACTCTGTTACCTTTTCTTTCTCTCCCGTCCTGTGCCCCAGATTTATCTTTCTCTGAATAGTTTGGCCTGTTCTGTACCAGGTGCTGCTGTGCTTAGCTCTGGGGCAGAGGCCAAGACACAAAGTGGAATCACAGGTCTTGCTTGTCAGAGCAGACAGAGGGAGACATGAAATTCAGGTGTAGGGAAACATGTGCTCACCACACCCAAACTTGTCCTCAAGCTTGTCTCAGACGTGTCTGCCTTTGGCCTTTGCCCAAGCCATGCCCTCTGCTGGGAATCCCCCGTCCTTATTTCTAGTCTGCCATCCTTAAGCCCAGTATGGGTCTCCTCACCCCTCTGCCTGCCTCCCAGGGAGTGGGGTGGAAGTGACAGTGCTCAGGATGTGTGGATGGGACACCCAGTCCTGGAGAACTGATGTCGCCCTGAAGAGAGTGGCTGCAGCACACAGGTGGCAGCAGTGAGGTCGTTGTGTTGGTAGTAAGGTCGCACCAAAGGCCTTGAACGTTCTTCTCCTTTAAGGTCTTGCCTTGAGTTGAGCTTCTCTCAGGCACTGGGAGCACAATTTATATCTTAGATTAGTTTGTAATCTGATGGCCTCTGAGCCCCATCACACGTCTATGGAGGGGCAATGGAAATGCCATATGTATTGGGGAAGGACCCAGAGCTACTAGGGCTTGTGACTTGCCCAGGATCTCGGAAGGAAATGAGGAGCACACAGATTTTTGTACAAGTTGCTCTGTGCAGTCCTTGGAGGATAATGACAAAATGCAGACGACCTAAACTTCAAACCATAGGGGATTATGGTAATTAAATCCATTCACAGAATTCCGTGCAGCCATTAAAAATGATGTTCTTAAGAGCATGTAAGAATATGGAAAGCTGTTTATAGTCAAGCTTACAAAGCAAAACATAAAATAGAGTGATGTGATCCCAGTATTTTTAGGGATATGTATAGAAAAAAAGACTGGAAGGGACCCTAGCAGAGTAAAGGTTTATGTTTTGGCATTTCAGATTTTTGTGTTTCTCAGTTATTTCACATGGATTTGTTATTTTACAATGAGGAGAAATACAGATTATTTATAAAATAAAAACAGTGTCAGAGTCTGCAGCGTGAGCAGGATCAGATAGTTGGCGAAGCTTCAGTCAAGTGGAGCACCATGGAGTCAGAGAAGATGGGTCTGTGGGAGGCCACATGCCACGCCCATGTGCCCCACGTCCTTTGCCTCAGGCCTGCCAGAGGTGGCCATCTGGAACCAGAGGAGACCTTGTTCTGCGTGTAGCTGTGCAGACCAAGTTCGCCACTGTCTGTCCTGACCTTGAGTCAGGTGTCCTCTCTGGGCACCAAGATGCTTCCATGCAGGCCGAGTAGGAAGGAAGGTGGTTCTGGTGGGACATTGCCTCTGGCTGTCTCCCATTCTGTGACTTGAATGCCTTACCTCACGTCTCTGCATCACTCCTCACCTTCAAGAGGGAGGGGAGTGGTGCTCTCAGGGTTGGAGAACTCCACAGAGAGACTGTGGAAGCACCAGCCTATGAATCGCTTTTGGATTGTGATCCGTAAAACTAGAAGTCTTCCTCATTTTCAGTTTCCTGTTCACGCTTCCAACTGCCTTTGAGGCTGGCTGCACACCAGGGCCTGTGCCAGGCGCCGGGGAGCCAGGCAGGCATGTCAGAAGGCCCTGGCCTTGAGGCAGTGAGAAGAACCCACAGGCAGGCACACAGATAGCAACTCAGGCCCAGTGCAAATAGCACAAAGGAGGGTATTTCACAGTCGGTCCCCCTTCACACCCACAGGAGGCTCCCCAGCAGTTGGGGTGGAAGGAACGGCCTGGCCTCTGGAGAGACACTTCCTCCCAGCACCCCCACCTTGAAACCAGGGCTCCTGAGGGATTTCCGGCAGGAATGACTAGCTCTGTGCTGTGCTAGCAGCCTTTTAGAAAATACAATGGAGAGACCTCATTTTGTAATAATAATAACAACAAAATGAAGAATAATTTCAGTAAGAAGCACATGTGACCCATTGGTCTTGAGCAGCAAGGTGTCCTAGGCTTTAAAGAATTCTTGAATAACTGGAAAATGTGCTGCCTTCCCCTCGACCTGGTTTTCCTAGCCCTGAGTAGGCTGACTCTGCTGGGCTTTAATTTGGCACTGGCCACAGAGAGCCCCTGGTGGTGTGATGCCTCACCACTGCGTGCATGGTGCTGACAGCCTGTTTCTCTTCTTGCTTTCAGAAGTGACTGGGGAATCGCGTCCTTACCATGGGAAGGAGGCTGTGGATCCGCGGCCGGGGCGGGCCCGAGGCAGCGACCCCAAGCACTTCCATGCAGTGAATGTGGCGCAGCCCGTGCGCTTTAGCAGTAAGTTGCAGACCTGCTCTCTCCAGGACCTAAACCTTGTGGCCCTGTGTGGCCCCATGTAGCCCCTGGCTATCCCAGGGCCACTCAGCTGGACAAGGAGTGTGCCTCCTAAAATGGCCCTTCTGGGCTGTCAGGGGCCACTGACCTCTTTTGATGACTGAGGTTGCAAGGCGACCCTTCCAGGGTCACCCCAGGGCCGAGTGGTGAAGCCATGATGTGAACCCAGGCTCTGGAACCAGGCTGCTTGCTGCCACAAATCAGCTGCTTTTTGTGGTCAGACTGTTCTCAACCTTTGGTAGATAGAGAAATAGGCTCTGAGGGATTAGGTCCAGCTGATGGGAGGGAAGGCTCTGCCCTGTCATTAAACTGTTTTTGAAGAGACTAGTTCTTGGATAAACTCCCTATGACATTAAGATTTTTAAAGGAGCATTACAAGATTAAAGAAGGTTGAAAGAAAAGCCACACCAGCCCCCTCCCCCCCCAATAGACAGGGATAATGACAGACATGGGTACAACACGCCGGGACAGGAGGAACTGATAGGTGACATGTCAGCTGTGGGGCCAAGGAGCTGGTTGGCTATGTCAGTACTTGCCCCTCCCCAGACACTCAGCACCGGGGAACACCTCAGAGCTCAGACCCTGTGTGGCAGCTTGGTCGCCTGACAGGGACTGAACGAACTGGGGAGCAGTGCCCTGGTGCTGTGCTCGCTCTTGATCCATAAAAGCTGTGAAATACAAGGATTCTCGTGGCTGAAGGGATACTGGGCAAGCTTGGCAAATGAAGAAACCAAGGCTCTGAGCGGTCAGCACACCCAAGGTCATGCAGCCTATGGGGCACCGCCAGGACTCAGCCCCATGGAGCCCCGACTCACACTCACACTCACCCTTTTCATTGCTTACCTATTTTTTTTGAATAGTTCATACTTCTGCCAAGGTAGTAACTCCACAAATTTCATATGATTAAAAAAAGATGAGCCAATAAAAAGTAATGTTCCCTCCTTCCATTGCCCCCACACACACACACCAGCTGCCATCCCTAGAGAGGTTTCCTCTGGACCCATCCCAAGGTGGTGGGTGAGGAGCCCTGGGTGGGAGCCTGCCCTATTGCTTGCCAGCTGAGGTGCTTAGCCTCTGCATGCCTCCGTGTCTCCACCTGTAACCTGGAAACAAGGCAGGACCCACCTGGAGGGGGTGGGCAGGTGGAACACATTGTGCGTGGGGGTTTAGGAGCCGTAGTAAGGGCTCCCCTGGTGATCCCCTGCCCTTCAAGCTCATGCCACAGCCTCAGCAGGCATGTGTTGTGTGCCCCGTGTACCTTCCAAGCAGGGGTAATCACAGTGCTTGCTCCTGGCCGACAGTGAAGAGCCTTCCTGCGTGCTGTGCTGCTCAGTCTGTGAGTGGGTTGTCCCCCGTGGGCAGGTGGCAGGGGACAGCCCTGTCCTCACTGCAGTGCTGCTGTGGCATGCCTCCTGGGCTCCAGGCCAGAGCTGCCATTTACTTCTTGTAATCTCTGTGTCTTTGTTAATCAGTTACACACACAGTCTCTAATAAAAACATGAACATCTATCTTTCAGAAGTTTTACTAATTCCATAGGACGTAGATGCATTAAAAAGTTGCATTTTGGTAATGACTGCCTTTGTTAAAAATTATTATTCTTCAGCGTGTGCTTAGCAGGTGGGGAGCCAGCATTTGAAAGTTAATAGATCCAGTGGAACAGGCCCTAGATCTTACCTAAGGCCAGCCATACAGAACGGCAGGAGGCCGCCTGGCCCCAGGAGTGGGTCCACCTGGTGAGGAGACATCTGGGCTGGCCTGCCTCAGCGAGATGTAGGTTCCAACTGGCTACTCTGCTGTTGCCTGCTGTAGAACCACCTGGGCCTCGCCTTCTTGTCTTGGGAGGCAGGGGCTGGCCTTTTTATCCCAGTGGCACTTCCGGCTCTGATCCTCTGAATTTCTCTTTTAGGGGAATACTGGCCAGTGCCCATTTGAAGGGAAAAGGAGGGCCAAGGAGCGGGCTCAGGAAGCAGTGGGCTTGCTGGTGGAGTGGGCAGAGAGCCAGATTTGGGGGCAGTGTGGGCAGGGAGTCTTTCTGCTCGTTCCTGGCATGGGGAGTTCTGCTGTCTTGTCAACCAGACTTCATCCGAGAATGAAGTCCACTTCACGAAATACATTTTGCAGCCAGTCTTTAGTGTGCCAAGTAAATCAAAGGCCTTACAGAAATGAGATGAGTCCCTGAATGTGCCCGTGCCTTGGGCTACATCTGTGTCTTAGAGAATCTTGTATTTCACAGCATGTATGGTCTTATAGGCAGAGCTTGTCTCCTGAGCCTCAGTTTCTCCATTTTTCTGGGGCTATTTCTGGCCTCAGGTGGAGCATGTCTAATCGTATTTTGGAGTGAGGATCCTAATTTAGGGGACAACTCCCCTCCCGCCCTTCATGTTTCCTAGGGAAGTGCCCAACAGGATGGCACCACTATGAAGGCACAGCCAGCTGCTACCGGGTCTACCTGAGTGGAGAGAACTACTGGGATGCCGCACAGACCTGCCAGCGTGTGAATGGCTCCCTTGCCACCTTCTCCACTGACCAGGAGCTGCGCTTCGTCCTGGCCCAGGAATGGGACCAGCCGGAGCGGAGCTTCGCTTGGCAGGACCAGCACAAGTGAGTCCTGCGGTGGGGACCCAGGGCTTGAGGTCAGGCTGCCACCCAGTGAGCAGGATACCTACCAAGGACGTGGCTTCTGGCCTCCCATGACACCCCTCAGGCTTAGCTGACCGGCCCTCAGAGGAAGGGCAGCCCCATCCACTGGAAACAGATAGGGATCTGGGCTTTAGATCAGGCATCAGTATGATGTCAGGGGCTCTTAGAGGGCCAGGGATGGGCTGCCATGTTGTCACTTCAAGCAGTTACCTTCATTGGCTCCCGAGGGGCTGATTGAAGGGGCTTCCTAGGCCCGGCATGAGGGCCATATAAGTGGGTGGAGGGTTCCTTCTAAGAAAGAGGGCTCTGTCAGGCTGATAGATGAGAAGACAGGCCCAGAGTAGGTGAACACATGACCTTGGGCACGTATTAGCTAGGGTATGCTTAGGTTCCAACTCAGGCAGTCTGGCTCCAGAGCCTGACTCTTGACCCCAAGGCTCTGTGACATTGTGGAGAATATGTCAAAATTGCAGCCAGCTGCCAGCATCTCCAAGCCCAGAGCTTAGAGGGTTTTGTTGGAGGGCAGGTGTGTGCTGAGGACTGTAGTGGTCCTCTTCTGGAGGGAGCATACTGCTTCTTCCACACTGCTGGGGAGTGGAGGAGTGGATTGTAGCGTTGCCAGATCGCCAGTGCACTCTCTCAGGGATGCTACACTGCTATAGGAGCACGATGACTGTAGCAGGTGGAGAGCAAGCCTTCATTTCAATACCCTAGCTGGATTTGGGTTCCACCATTATGCCCTGTGATGTTGGCAAATCACAATCACCTTGCTGTTTTTCCTTCTACAGCTGCAAAGTGAGAAAAAAACTTCTAGATCATGGGGTGATTATGAATCCATGGAGAAGTGAGAGGGCTCAGCCCACTGGGTAGGAAAGTACCCATCTCCCCAGGGTGGGCATGTGCATGGCAGCAGGCTGAAGGGAGAAGAGTGGCATTGAGCCAGAACTCCTACGGTGGCACTGGGCCTGCTGACGGGCAGCTCCAGGATTGCAGCTGGAAGGCTGGGGTGAGAGGCACACACCCAGCAGGTGGTTGTGGCAGTCGGCCAGGTCCATGGCCCTCTTGGTGCTGTGACGTGTGTGCTCAGGAGCACACTGCAGGTCTGGGGCGAGCTGGCTCTAAGTGGAGACCAAGCAGGAGACCACGAACGTCATTTTACCCAACACTGCAGTGTAGACTCATGCGGGTTTGTGTTTTATTGAGATGTAATTCACACACCATAAAGTTTACCCCTTTAGAGCAGACCATTCTTTGGTTCTAGTATATTCACAGAGTTGTATTCATGGGGCTGTGTGTACCAGGAATACCAAGAATAAGATTGGTCTTATATAGAATGTGAAAACTTTATTGGATCAGCCAATGAGAATGGAATTGGAATTGACAGGAGTTACCCAAGATTCAACTTCTTCTGATCTGTGGATTTATTGTTTACTAACTTTATATGTACTTTATTAAATTTTAGTATCGAAACTTAAATCATTAATGCTTTACAAGCTTGGTATTTGAAAGGTCATTATAACTCTAAGATACCCACACTCACACCCAGTCCACGGTTGTCTCCTTGCTGTGCTGAGGCCTGCTGCCTTTCCGCCCTCTTGCAGGCTGTGGGTTGGCTACCAGTATGTCATCGCCAGCCGGAACCACTCCCTAGAAGGTCGCTGGGAGGTAGCGTTCAAGGGTAAGTCTTTTTGGTCTTTCAGAAGAATTGTTGAGTGTGCAGTTGGGATGGGGGGGCATCATCCTGACTAGGGAGATATTGCTGGGGGTTCCCCACCCCTTCACCCTCTCCCCAGTGGTGCTTGGTGCAGGGCTCATGGAGAGGAGCAGGCCCCAGATTGTGGAGGGCACCATGATGATGGGCAGACACCCCAAGGCCCTTCTTTCACGCTCTTTGTGGGGCTGGAGCCTTCTCTGGAACCTGTGTTTCTTTCTCACTTGGCAAATACCTAGACTGTCCATTTTCCCTTTAAGTGAAGGCCTTTAATTGGGGTATAAAAATAATGAATATAAGGAGTGTGCAGCTGACATGGGCGAGAGGGAGGGATAAGCCTTCTAGGATAGTGACATCAAGAAGTAGAATCCAAACTGGAAGGAAAGCTATCAGGCAGATGGAATTAAAATAGATAGTAAGTGTGCATGTGTTGTGTGTGCGTGTATGTTTCTTTAAGGATTTTATGCTGACTTGTTTGTAAGCACCAACATAATGTAAAGGAAGCAAGCATGCTGGTGTTGGCAGCTGAGTCATGCCATTACCCCCTCCTCCCCTGTCCCTCCCCTCCTGCCCTATTACTCTGGCACTGGCAGGTTTCACCCAGGCCCTGGCTATGGCCTCTCCACTTGGCTGCCTGAGCTGTGATTACCCTGTCCTGGCCCCTTGTCAGGCCTTGCTTTGGGGCTGCTCTTTGGGCCTGTGGTTTGAGCTTGGGTCCTATTCTTTTTTCCCAAACATGTCCCAGTCCCACTGTGGATGTCTTAAGTGTCTCTGAGAAGGACACGTGAGGAGTGGTGGTCCCAGGACTCTCCAGACATGTTGCTCTGTCCAGCTACCTCACTGTGGAGAATGAAGGGGCATTGACCTCAGAGCCCACCTGTTTCCCAGCCTGAGTGGCCTCGTGGCAGGTGACTGGCTGTGTCTTTACATACTGTGGTGAAATTACAGACATGATTGGTATTCAGAAGCCCCAGGTAGCTGGCTTCCCTGGAGAGAGGCAGGGTCTCACAGGGTAGGGGTGCTAAGCCTGGCAGCTGGAAAGGGGCAGGGAGCAGAGATGGTGACTACAGAGGCCCCAACAGAGGCCACACCTACCATCCTTTGCTCCTACTTGGGAAGTCACCCCATTCTTGTATCTTCCAAATATCCTACTGAAAGCATGCCTCATATTTGTATTCCTAAAGTTTGTGAGTGTAATATGTAGATTTTTCTCCAGAGTAGAAAACAAGTAAGTAGCTTATGGGTTTCCAGGCCTGGGAGTCACCGTGTATCTTGCAGAGGATAAATCTAGTAGTTCCTCATTGTCTTAATCACAACCATTGATGGCTAATCCTAGGCCAAGGCCCATTGCCCCTGACCCCAGCAGACGGCATTGGCCTACAGAATAGTATAGACACTCTTCGATCCGGTTATCTTCCTGACACCGATAGTTAAAAAGAGAAGATGCAGGTCTGCGTTGCATGATAGTGTGTTCTGAGCTGGGGGACATGGGACCCTCATCTGGCATGAGAATGGCAAAGGCCCCAGGTAGGCTTCAGTGGCCACACTTGTTTTCTCCTTGGCTCCACTGGGGCATTTAGAGAGTAAACCTGAAATCTAAAAAAACTAAGTATGTCAACACTGGCAGCAATGGCTCAGTGTGCAAGGGACCTGAGGCAAGAGTGAGGCGCCCACACAGATGGTGCTGTGGCCCTAACGTCCATCAGCTCTGTGTGGCTGCAGCATGTTGTTGGCTGCTCGTGCCTGGGTAAGTGGACTTGGCAGTTCTGTTCTGGATTTAAGTAGTAGCCACAAAATGAATGCGTGGCTAAAAAGGATTCCTCTACTACAAGATAACTGGCCCGGATACCTGACACGGCTCAACATCATTTGTTCTGGGGTGTTTTTGTTTTTGTTTTTGTTTTGAGAGGAAGAGAGTGGGATATGGGAGGGGCAGAGGGAAAGGAAGAGACCAAATCTCAAGCAGGCTCCACACCCAGCACAGAGCCGGTTGTGGGGCTTGATCCCATGACCTTGGGACATGACCTGAGCCAAAATCGAAAGTCAGACACTTAACGACAGAGCCACCCAGGTGCCCCTGTTTTGGGTTCAAAGAAATTAAAAGAAAAAACATAAGCCCAAATGTAGCACACGAATTCTGATGCATCCTGGATTGGGAGGGGGAGAGTTATAAAAATTTGGGGACACAGTTAGGGAAGCTGAATCTGGATTTGCAGTGGAGGTTGACTCCAGGATTTTCAGAGGTGTGACTGTAGTGTTGTGCTGTGGACAAACATGTAGAGTGAGCTGCTGCGACGCAGGACAGAACTTCGCAGGGGTTCATTATATTCTTCCGTCTGCCTTTGTATCTGGTTGAAAGTGTCTATACCGAAAGCACCTTCTGCTGAGAGACTGCAGCGCGAGAGAATGCTGTCAACACAGCCCCAGCAAACGAGACGGTAGCAGAGCTCCCACTGCTACTCGCAGAGGAGAGAGAGGAACGTGCTCCCTTAGTCAAAACTGAGGATCTGGCTGGGCCTGAGAAGTGGGTCCAGAGGTGATGCATCCCAAAGGCAGTAGGAGGTAGATTTGTCTTTGGTCATTAATGATGAATTCGCCCCAAAGAAAAAATCGTGCCTAAAATATGAGCGAATGGCGGTAAGAAGCCACTGTGGGAAGATATTTATTATTTTACATCTTGCCCAACATTTTCCTCTGTGTTTTATAATATGTGTTGTTATAACACACGTGTTGTCATAACATCGGCACAGTGGCACCTGCATATACGGATGATATATCCACACTTCTTACCTTTGTGTGCTGGCACCCCCACTCCCCAGGTGCACTTTAAGTTTGGAGCTCCACTTGTAAGAGGGGCCTCCTCCCATGGCCTCTCCCCCAAGAGGGATGCCTTGCCTCTGGTTTCTGTCCATACAGCATGTCAGCTCCACTCCAGGGTACCAAGACCCTGACGTTCAGGCAGCACCCAGGGCCTGGTGTGCCCTGGAAGGCTGAGAACTGCTGCTGCAGTTTATAACATTGGTGACCAAAATTTGAAAGCAGATCCATGTTGTCTAAAGGGAATCATCTGTTTTCCTCCAAGCCGTTGCCCAGGGCTCTAGCATCATTGCTGTTAACAGTATCATTTCAGTTTCTGGTTATTATATGTGATACGTATTTTAAAATATAAAAATGGAAGCATACTATGTGTTTGATGTGCCCACGTTGTATAACTTGCTTATTTTTAACAGCTGCTCAGGGGCATCTGGGTGGCATACTGGTTGAGTGCCTGCCTTTGGCTCAGGGCGTGATCCCAGTGTCCTGGGATCGAGTTCCTCATCGGGCTCTCCAAAGGGAGTCTGATTCTTCCTCTGCCTATGTCTCTGCCTCTCTCTGTGTCTCTCATGAATAAATAAATAAAATCTTAAAATAATAAAAAAAAAAAAGATGTGTTCAGTCCTGCACCTGGACACCCATCCTCCCCCTATCTCAGCATTCCCATTTCTAGGGGCTCATTCCCATCACAAGTGGGCTGAGGCCATGTGTGCCAGAAAGGAATGCCCTTTATGATCTCTATCTTCTTGGCCTGGTGCTCACACCCAGGGAGTGTGACTCACTTGTGTGCCCTGACCTGTCCTGAGCTAGAATCTTCCATCAGCAGTGAGGAAGTGGCACTTGGGGGAGGGCCAGGGCTCAAGCTGGCCTAGAAGGCACATTGTGGAGACCCTGCCCTCTGAGGTGACTGTCAAGCTGGAGTGGAGTCAGCCAAGGTCAGGCCACAGTTCTGCTGAAGGAAGGCAGCCCTGAGAGTGAGGTCGCTGGTTCTAGCAGAGGAGCATTTGGGAGGATCCACACAGCTTGTTGTGGGCCCCAAGGCAGGCCCATTCTGTGGGGGCTGTAGTACCATACTCCTTCCTGGGTGAGGCAAGACAGAGGCAGACAGCCTGCTGTGGGGAGGCAGATGGCACACTGGTAGAAAGTGAGTGAAGGTCAGCCTGCTGTAGGATGGGCATGGGGGGTGTGGTTCTTCCAAGCTGAGGGAGCAGGGGGACAGAGACACAGGAGGAGATGGCAGAGGAAGTTTGGTATTGTTGGCCATGTGTGCCACGCTAAGGGCAGCTTGTGTGCAGATGGAGTCGGGGTGTCTGGGAACAGTTGCTGCCACTCCAGCAGGTTGAAGGCCTGCCCTACTGCACAGGCAGCAGTGGAGAGGTACCCTAGAGGACGGTCTGCTGGTACGATGACATGATCTCCTGCCCTTTCAGACTTGCCTAGAATCTTATCACTTGTCATCAGGTCACAGCCATCAGATCTAATGTCATCCACCTAAATTACCGACACCTCCAACCTGGTCTTCTTGCTGCCAACCCCACCCACCCCTGTCTCCTCACACAGTTGTCTGAGGTTCCTCTACTCCTCCCCCTTCTGCCCTTGTGGCTCCTTCTCTCAAGAAAGCCTGGTCCTCACAGTCCTGCGGCAGCCTTTCCCTCTGCCCTCCCTCCCGACACCCTGCAGCCCTCCTCTCTAGCCACATGCCACCTTTGCTGCTGCTGTAAGCCCTCCCTGGGATGCTCCTTCCCAAGCTCAGGTCACTCTGGTGCAGGAGAAGGTACCACAGGCGGCCTGGCCCTGGCTGGCACCTGGGAGGGCTCAGGGATTGGGTGGAGCAGAGCCTACTGTGTCGGGTCGTCTGGACTGCACGAACTGTGGGATTTATGGTGAACACCTGTTTCCCCTGGTGAGTCTGGAGTCGAGGTGCCCAGGGACTCCTCCAGGCAGGAACGCCACACCCATGTTGCTGCAGTTTGTTGCTGGCAAAGGCCCGCACCCTCCTGTCAGGTGGGAGAGTGCTCAGGAAGTCTGGCCTGGATGCCCCCAGACTTGCCTGAGCTGTCCCCTCTCTTGTTGCTGGTGTATCGTGCTGTGTTGCTGTAATAAATCTTAGCTGTGACTGCGGCTAGAAGCCAGGTCCCTTGAGTGCTTCTAGCAAAGCCGTGAGCTTGTGCGTGGCGTGGGACTCCCACCACAAGCCTTGTCACCCCTCCTGTCCACTCTCTGCTCCTGTGGCACTACTCCGAGACCTGCCTTCCATCTCCATGCTCCAGCTTCCTTTTTACCTGTAGTAGTTGTGACCTTCCAACATCACGAATACCTCACTCATTAGGTCTAGTAGTCCTCTGTTTCTGGCCTTTATACCCCTGCCCTGTTGTGAGCTCTGCAAGGCAAGGATCTCTGCCTGCTGCTGTTGCCCCGTGTACCCCGAGGGCACGTTTATAGGATGGGGCCTGTGAGCATTTGTTAAGTCAGTGGGGATGATGATCAGGAGGCCATGCTAGATGCCTGGGGCTGCCCTCACAGAGTACCATGAACTTCTGGCTTAACACAAATTTACTTTCTCACAGTTCTGGAGACAATTCCAAAATCAAGGTGTTAGCAGGAGAGTTCTTTCTTGCTCCTTTGCCAGTGCAGAGTGGCTCCTGGCATTCCTTGACTTATGACAGCCACACTCCAGGCTCTGCTCCATCTGCCTGTGGTCATTTCCCATGTTTTTATCCTCTGTGTCTTCTCCCTTTGCAAGGACACACCCCAAGTACTGAATGATTTTACCTCGAGAGCCGAATAAGGTCATATTCTGAGGTTCCAGGTGGCCATGAATTTTGGGGGGATGCTTCTCAACCCACAGCAGATGCTAATTGAAGATCACACTGAGTGTGTTGGGGATTAGCTGCATTTATCTCCTAGCAGAGAGAGGATGGAGCATTTTTATGAAACTGGAGTATAAAGTACCATAGAAAGGGCACATAAAATGAAGGCTTGAAAGAAACTAAGTTTGGCAAAGAGGAACCAGTCTTCTTAGTCATTGGTTTCAAGAAACTACTGTAGCCCACATGACCTCAGGGTAAACAGGGCTTCTGACCAGCACAGAGTGAGAAGGCCCAGGTGTTCCTCTGGGCACATAGTGGGTGGGAGGAGCTCCCTCCACTTGGCCTTCCCTGTGCCCCCTGTCTGTGTGTGGCTTGGTGGGGCCTGAGCCACCCTCGCTCCCACCCTCCACTCTCAGTTTGGCTCAGGCAGGTTCCAGGTGCTGTGAGCAGAATGGGGTGGGAACCAGGTCCTAGGACTCTACCCTGAGAGCATTTGTGGCCTTGGTCAGAACTTTGCAATCATGTGCTGACATTGTACTCTGGGCTGGCAACTAGACTCAAGGCTAGAGCCTTTCTTTCTTTCTTTTTTTTTTTTTTTAAGGTTTATTTATTTTAGAGAAAGAAAGAGAGCATGAGTGGGAGGGGCAGCGGGAGAGGGAGAGAAAATCTCAAGCCCAGTCCATGCTGAGTGCAGAGCCTGATGCGGGGCTCAATCCCAGTACCCTGAGATCAGGACCTGATCTGAAACTAACAAACAGTGCCACCCAGGCGCTCCTGAAGACTTGGTTGTTTTGGGTTTTTTTGTTTGTTTTTATAAAGGATGGGATAAATCTGTTTCGTTTTCAGCACATGAGACAAGAAGCCAAATAGTGAAGAAAACTGTTTTAAGAAGGAAGGCTTCTGGGCAGCCCCAGCGCTAAACCCCAGTTCAGTGGTTTAGCGCTGTCTTCAGCCCAGGGCCTGATCCTGGAGACCCGGGATCGGGTCCCACGTCGGGCTCCCTGCATGGAGCCTGCTTCTCCCTCTGCTTGTGTCTCTGCCTCTCTCTCTGTGTCTCTCATGAATAAATAAATAAAATCTTTCAAAAAAAAAAAAAAAAAGAAGGAAGGCTTCTCCCAGGTAAAGGGGTATCTGAAGAAGAAGAGGGCACACGGGTTATAGGAGACCTCGCTGGGGAGCAGGGGGCTGGATGACACAGTGCTCATGGCAGTGAGCCCACTCTTAGCATTAGAGGCAGGCTCCCCAAATGGTGTGAAAAGACATCCCAAGGACCCTGGCCCCCACCCCTACCCTCCCTCCATGGTCCTCCTGTGAGTCTGACCCAGTAGGGGTGCACTGACATTGACTGTGCCTGTCAGCTGGAGACTGGGCTTCTATCCCACCACGCTTCCCCAGAGTCCCTCTTCCTGACCTTGTCAGGGGGCTGGGAGGCATTGTGCCCAGTGTCTACAGAATGAGGCCCCATCTCCAGACTCGCTGGCTCTTCCAGACTGACCTCCATGCTTAGTATTGGGAGCAAATAGAGTTCAAAAGGCATGCATGACAATACCATGTTGCTGTTAAAGGGTAAACCGCATTGCCATCTTAGTAAAATTAGAAGTGTCTCTGGTGACCCACGTCCAGGTTAGCCTCAAGGAATCTTGTGGCGGTCCAGTGTTGGAGAGTTCTCTGAGGTAGAGAGTGGGCTCTGGGGGCTGGCTGTGCTGTGCCCAGATGTGACCCGAGTCCACCTCCTGTGACAGGAGAAGAGAGGCCCCCTGTCCCTGTACTCCACCACAACCCCCCACTCGGGCTGCTGGGTGCCACATGATTTTTGATTGCCTGGTCCCTGGGTTGGAAGGCAGAGTTTCAGTGAGTGACAGTCTCCCTGGAGTTGGGAGGGGGTTCCAGGGAGCCAGTGCTTTCTAGCTCGCCAGGCCTGATGATCCCCCTGCTAGGTTGAGGGAGCTACGATTCTGTCAGAATTGTGTGCTCCCGACACGTGCAATAGGTGCCTTTCGAGCCCTTCTCTATTTACTAGTTGAGACCCTGTTAAAGGAGAGGACTCCCCTCCCCATTTAATTGTTGTTTATCCATATGAACGCATACATTTTTAAAAAAGATTTTTTTTATTCATGAGAGACACACAGAGAGAGGGAGAGAGGCAGAGACACAGGCAGAGGGAGAAGCAGGACCCATGCAGGGAGCCCGACGCGGGACTCGATCCTGAGTCTCCAGGATCAGGCCCTGGGCTGAAGGCAATGCTAAACCACTGAGCCAACCGGGCTGCCCAAACTCATACATTTTAATTGACTGTGCTGTGGCCCATTACTTTATCCTTCACGCTGCCCAGAGCTGTGCTCCTAGGAACTAGGGGAGGTCATGAATGAATGCAGTGCAGCTAGTATTTGGCGGCCCACAGGCCCTTTGATTGATGGTCCAGTTTGGGGGGCCTTGGTACCCACAAGGACTGCCTAGGATTGGTGTGCTGACATTGTTATTTTTCCCACAGGTTCCTCCGAGGTGTTCCTGCCCCCAGACCCCATCTTTGCCTCAGCCGTGTCGGAAAGTGACAGTGTCTTCTGTGCTCAGCTCCAGTGTTTTCACTTCCCCACCCTCCGACACCACGACCTGCACAGCTGGCATGCAGAGAACTGCTACGAGAAGTCTTCATTTCTCTGTAAAAGAAGTAAGCCACCTTGGCTGTGACTCCTAATGCGCTGTAAGGAAGTGCTTCTCATGAATACGTGGCTGTCTGATTTCTGGACCTTGGTGTCAACCTTGAGTAGACTTGGACCTCACGGTGCACCAAGGCAGACCCCTGCATCATAGTGGGGTGGCAGGAGCTCCTTGCCTGGCTCACAGTCCTCTGAAGGTACGCCACTACTGTGGCAGGAGGGCAAGGATCCCGGCAGCAGTCAGCATCTGTGAACAATCCTTTCTCTTTCCCAGGATAGAGGTGCTAATTCCTGCCCTCTACATCTCGTTGTTGTTAGGAGCTGACATGAGAATGGTGATGGAGGATTTGCCACATCTCCTGGTGTCTTGGAGCCTCCAATTCCCCTGGTCACTTACTTACCCACTCTCTCTTTCGGTCTTTCCAAGACTGCTTACTCTGCATCTGGACCACTCCCCGGCTCCATCCGTGATCTTTCCCTGTCTCTCAGCCCACTCACTCACTCACATTCCGCATTCAGGTCTCTTCCAGTTTCAGGGACTCACAGTGTGTGGTGCTTACTGAGAGCAGGGACAAATCGCACTCAGAGGCAGCATGGGAGGCAGGCTGATGGTCTCAGCATCATTAATCATTAATTTGGACCATCATTCCTTTTCTGATAATTTGTCATTCATCAAGCATTCATAGATGTTTGAGCCTGTTTCTAGACTCCATTCTGACCCTTGGCTGTTGTCAGTCCCATGCTGATACCACATCATCTTCACAGGAACTTTGCATCCTCTCAATGAGTTGTGGGCTTCCCTTGTTCTTGCCCCTTCTGTTGCCAATTCTCAACCTTTTATTCTTCACCTGAATTTTAGAATCCGTTTTCTGAGCTCCATTATTAGAACTCTTACCTGGTTGGATTCTGCTAGATTTTCTATTTAGGCTTTTTTTTTTTTTTTTTGTCTTCTTTCAAATCTTTGATTTTCTATTTCTTTACATTTTTTCCCTTGGTGTTCCTTTACTTGCTAAGGTCTCCAGTGTAGTGTCGACTAGAAGTGCTGGTAGTGAGCCATAGGTTTATCATCCCAGCCTAAAAGAGAAAGCTTTTGGTGTTTCACCATTAAATATGGCACTTTAAAAGTGAGAAAATACCTTTTTGAGGTTAAGGAAGTACCCTTCCATTCTTAGTTTGCTGAGAATTTCTACATTACAAAAATGTAAACACTTTTTCTGCATTTATTGGGATCGTGGCTTTTCTTCTTTACTGATTTATATTATTATTTTGCTTATATGATTTTATTTACCATTTACTTTTTTACATTAGATCTCTGATATTAAATCATCCTCAGGGTTTTTTTTGTATATATGTTGCTGGCTTTGCTTGGATGACATTTAGGATTTTTGAAACTCCTCTAAGAAGTGATCTTGGCCTGTTATGGTGCTTTTCTTTGCTCTCCTTGACTAGTTTTTGCATCACATTTATATTCGATACTTGAAATGAGTTGGGAAGCATTTTGTTTTACCAGTCTCTAAGTCAGTTTGCACTAATTGCAAATGATCTTGTCCTTAAGTATTTGATAGATCATACCATTTAAGACCATCTGGGCTTGGGAGGCCAGGGACTTTGTAACTTGTTATTTAGATATACAGTTGGTACTTGCACAACATGGGTTTACATCCACTTCTTTTTTTTTAAAGATTTATTTGTTTGTTTGTTTATTTATTTATTTATTTATTTATTTATTTATTTATTTATTTATTTATTTATGATAGACACACAGAGAGAATGAGAGAGAGAGGCAGAGACACAGGCAGAGGGAGAAGCAGGCTCCATGCCAGGAGCCCGATGCGGGACTCGATCCCAGGACTCCAGGATCACGCCCTGGGCCAAAGGCAGGTGCCAAACCACTGAGCCACCCAGGGATCCCCCACATCCACTTTTTATATGGATTTTTTCAGTAAATATAGTAAACTATTGTAAATGTATTTTCTTTCCCTTACGGTTTTCTTTCTTTCTTTCTTTCTTTCTTTCTTTCTCTTTCTTTCTTTCTTTCTTTCTTTCTTTCTTTCTTTCAAGATTTTTATTTAATCGTGAGAGACACACAGAGAGAGGCGGAAACATAGGCAGAGAGAGAAACAGGTTCCTCAAGGGGAGCCTGATGTGAGACTCGATCCCGGGAGTCCGGGATCACTCCCTGAACCAAAGGCAGACGCTCAATCGCTGAGCCACCCAGGCGTCCCTCACTGCTTATTTCTTCCAAACCATTTGGGAATAAATTGAGGATATTGTACCCTTGAGGCCTAAATACTTGGTGTGTTTCCTAAGAACCAGGACACACTCTTACATAACCGCTGCACAATTATTAAAATCAGGGCATATAATATGGGTACAGTGCTATACAGTAATCTACAGTTTATGACAGTTTTGTCAGTTGTTTCAATGATAATGCTTTATAACTATTTTTATCCTCATCCAGGATTCAGTCCAGAATCATGCATTTCACTTAGCTGTAGTTTCTTTAATTTCCTTTTTGTCTTTCAGTTTGAGTAATTTCTGTTGACATATTTTACTAATTCTTTCCTTACCTTTGTCAGTCTGCTCATGAGCCCACTGATGGCATTTTTCACCTGTTTTTGACATTTTGTCTATTTTTCATTTCTAATGTTTCTATTTGATTCTTTCTTTTTTAAAAAAGATTTTATTTTAGGGATCCCTGGGTGGCGCAGCGGTTTGGCGCCTGCCTTTGGCCCAGGGCGCGATCCTGGAGACCCGGGATCGAATCCCACGTCGGGCTCCCGGTGCATGGAGCCTGCTTCTCCCTCTGCCTGTGTCTCTGCCTCTCTCTCTCTCTCTCTCTGTGACTATCATAAATAAATAAAAATTAAAAAAAAAAAAAAGATTTTATTTTAGAAAGAGAGACAGAGACGAAGCACAAGCTGGGGGGAGAGGCAGAGGGAAAGAAAGAAGCAGACTCCCCACTGAGCAGGGAACCCAAGGCGGGGGACAATCCCAGGACCCCTGAGATCATGACCCGAACTGAAGGCAGCCACTTAACTGACTGAGACCTTGGCACCCCATTTGATTCCTGAGTTTCCATCTCTCTGCTGAATGTTCTATCTTGTATATCTACCTTTTCCATTAGAGCTTTTAACATATTTTTTTATTTTTTATAGTAAGATATATTTTTTAAGATTTTATTTATTTATTCATGAGAAACACAGAGAGAGAGTCAGAGACATAGGCAGAGTTAGAAGTTGGCTCCATGCAGGGAGCCCAATGTGGGACTCGATCCCGGGACTCCGGGATCACACCATGAGCCAAATGCAGATGCTCCACCGCTGAGCCACCCAGGCGTCCCGAGTTTTTAACATATTAATCATAGTTATTTTAAATTTTCTGTGGATGGTTCCCTTATCTGAGTGTAGTTTTGTTGATCCATTTGTCTCTGGAATGTTTGTGGGTTGTTGTTTCTTTTCCAGATTTTTGTATGCCTTGTAATATTTTGTTAAAGATCAGACAATTTGTGTAGAACAATAGAGATTGAGTTTGGTAGGTGATTTTGCCTTTCCTTCTGATAGGACTTCTTTACTGCAGTGGTGGTGGTAGGGTCAATATGGGCAGGTTTAGGCCTGAGCCGTGGATATCCTCTGTGCACCCAAGCCTTCATAGTCAGTAGATGCCTTGTGTTTAAAGTGGAGCTGGTTTTCCAGAGGCTCTTTTTAATACCTGCTCTGCCCTCTGCGTTAGATCTTCCCTTTGGGCCACTCCAGAGAGCCTGTCTCTTGCAGCTCTCTTGATGTGCGGCCTTCATAACTGCATCTGTCTTGCTGCCACCCAATGTGGCATCCTCACAGAGGGTTTTCACCAGTTCCCTGAAGGCTCCCAGTGTGCTCAAAGTGGAGGCAGTTGGCATGGGAAACTGGGGGCAGGCTACTACAAGCCAAGCAGTTGAGGTAATTGATCTGAGGAGCATATATGGCTTTCTCTGCTGGGTCCTGCCCTGGAAGTGGGGGGAAAAAACAGGAAAGCTCATAGTCATTGACCAAATCCTAAATGTTCTGGGCTGGTCGCTGCAGAGGTGATGGGTCAGAGCTCTCCTGTCATATATGGCCTAGCCATTGTCTGTATATTTAGTCTCATAGATACATCATGAGGCACAGGGTATCACTTGGCCCTGACATTGGTGACATTAGCTTTGATCCCTGGATTAAGGTTGTATCTGCCAGATTTTTGCTCTGTAAAGTTCTAGTTTTTTCTGTTTTGAAATTAATAAGTGATATGTGAGGAGATCCTTTAAGGAACAGAAATTCCTGTTCCTCATCAAACTTGCATCTGCTGTTGTTAGCCATGTGTTGACAATTTTCTGACTACATCATTCCTTCCATAATTACTAGTTGGCATTCTCTTATCAGGAAAAGCATTCCCTTTTCCCCCCATTTATTAATTTATTTGTATTAGAATGCATTCTTGGATTTTTATTATATAAAATGGTTTATAATTCATGAGTACCATTATTTATTTTTATGCTTAATTTGACCCATTTATGCTTGCCTTTTTTAAAAAAAAAAAAAGATTTTATTTATGAGAGACAGAGAGAGGGAGAGAGAGCAAGAGAGAGAGAGAGGGAGAAGCAGGCTCCATGCAGGGAGCCCGATGTGGGATTCGATCCCGGGACTCCAGGATTACTACCTGGGTGGAAGGCAGGCACCAAACCACTAAGCCACTCAAGGATCCCCGCTTGCCTTTTTTTTAAATTGACATTTTTATTGAGATCCTGTAGGTTCAGATGCATTTAAAGGAAATAAAAATCTCCCTTATACATTTTGCCTGATTTCTCCAAATGGGAACATTTTGCAAAACTATAGTGTAATATCATAGCCAGATATTGAGTTGGACAGAATCCACTGATTTTATTCAGCTATCTCCAATTTTACTTGTGTGTGTGTGTGTGTGTGTGTGTGTGTGTGTGTGTGTCAGAGAGAGAGAGGGGGGGGTTTATAGAATTTTATTTCTTGTGTAGGATCCT